AACTGAAAGTGCTAGAAGCTGTTGTTTTATTAGGATGATCAGAGAGGGTCTCTGAAGAAATAACACTTGAGGTGAGCTGCATGAAGTGAAAAACAGAGCTAGAGCCACATCAGTCTGGAGAGCCTCTGAGCTGAGCTGGGATGTTCTGAAGCAAAGCTGAGTAAGGGCAGTGGGAGAGGGGAGGTCCCAGTTGCTGGCAGATACCAGCATCAGGAGCTAGTACTGTGGCATGATTTTGAGCAGTGAAAGGGCATTTTCTGGTGATGTTTCCTAAGAATGCTCAATCTCAATCCCAGGCAGAAGCAGATATCAAAATCAAGAGGCAAAGCAAGTCAAAGATGGATTCCAAATCCAAGTGAGATCCTGGTGTACACTGCAGACAGGTAGGTGCTGTTACCTATAACTGGTCTGATGTGCTCTCTTAGGCCTCAGGGTGTGGCTGAACCATTGTTCTCTATAACTATGAAGTTCTGAAATTGATTATTTAGGAGCTGGCCAAAATGGTCCACTTACTGAAAGCTTCTGCCTAGGAGCTGGCAACAAAGGACTTTCCTGTATGCACAAAGGCCAGATCTGCAAATCACTTTTTCTTCAGAGTTTTGTTACCTTCATGTACTGAGCTGTGCTTAGAATCTGTATGTCTTAGTTCTCCTTCAAAATCCCATTTGTATCTTTTGCTGTCTAGTTCCTTGTGTCAAGGAGCACAGGGAGTTAAATACCCGGTCCAGCTCTATTACTAGCTGAATCTACCATGTCTAACTACATTTGTCTACAACCAATTAGAAAAGAAACACTTTGATTTTGGAAGAAGCAATATCTGGTGAAAAAAAACCTTTTGGAAATAAATGAGGCTGAGAAAATTGGTTGGGGGGAAAGGGAGGATCAAATTGGAATTTCATATTACAGGCCAAAAAAAAATCAATAGAATTTAGAATCAAACTTAAAAAAATTTCACCAGTACAAAATAATTATAATAATTAAATAAAATTATAATAATTAAGATTCAAAACAGACAAGAACTTTAATCAAAAAGAAAATAAAAGGCGTCATACTAGAATGCATTACATATTGATTACATAAAATTCAAAACTTCTAGGCATTAAAAATAGACACCAAGCTGGGAATGAAGGCTCATGCCCTTAATCCTACCTATTTAGGAACAAGAGATTAAGGGTCAAGGCCAAGAAAACATTAATGAGACTCTATCTCAACAAATAGGCCAGGAGGTCACACTTGATGCGCAGGAGGGTATTGGTTGGAGGATTAAAGTCTAAAGAGTAAAATCTCGAAAGAAAACAACTGCCAGGCT